TGAGAGACAGCATTGAATAGACATGCTGAAGGAATATCAACTATACTGATGACAAGTGAAACTAATACTAGTCTTGACACAAGTCCTTATTCAAGAATCTGTGAGCTAAGAGTGTCCATCTTCCCTGCTATTCCTGTTCTTCCAGGCTGTTGTCAAGTTCATAATTATCATTGCATATCATAAGTCATAACATTAATTAATTGTTTGTTTTTTAAAATAAAATAAAATAACACACTTGATAAAACAGTAACATGTAAAATCAATACCTTCTTTTAGCTGGAAACCTCCACTAAAGTATTGCAGTAAGTTGATTCCAAGCATAGCTTGGTAAAAAAATAACTTGCTTCTTCCAGAGCTGCAGATCTGAGCATGCGCGACCACACCCAAATTTTGGAGCACATGGCAAGCTTCTTTAATTAACAAAATGGCGGCATGTAGCTAAGATGGCTCGATCCAGCAGTCAAAGTATCACTTTTTCCTTACTTGAAGAATGATCTGATGGGACATGGACCTGCGCATAGACTGTTGGAGTAGATTGGTGTAAGAATTATTCTTGTAGCACCAACTGATACTGAGATACACACCGACAACTGGATTGACAGGACTTGATGAAGATGATGATGATGATGATGATGATGAAGATGAAGAAAGGTGGCTGAACAAAACGGCCGGTTCGCCGATTTTTGACTTTTCGCTTAGACAAGGTCTAGAGCCATTGTACCATTGGAGTCCTCTTGTCAAGATGAGGTCCTCTATAAAGTCTGGTAAGCAATAAGCATAGGAGCTCGTTTTCCAGGTATAGCAAGGCTGCAAAAGTCGTGGCAGCCATTTTGTTTGGGGGTGAATCCTACTTAGTAACGCTACCACGTTACTAATATAAAAGGGTCGAGAAGCTTCTACCTTGTATTCATTCTCATACATGAACATCTAGATACATATACATTGTACCTGTACATTTCAAATTCTTTTGCTATGCTTCAAACATTTACATGTACATATACACTACATGTACATGTACATGTACATCACCTACACTGTTGTGTACATAAATAAGTATAGATAGTGGTTTGTCATTAATATTCCTAGTTATTAAATGTATTATTGGTTTTAGTGCTATCATTAATTGCTACATGTACATGTACATTTTATGTTTTGTTTATCATTATTATTATACTGCATGTACATCTAAAAATAGTACAATTCACTATCTTCTGTCATTAAGTTTTGTACACTAAATTTCTAAAGAGAAAACTATTTACATGTGTGAATATAAAACATAAATATGTTAATTACATGTGCATTGTAAGTCCAGAAGTTACACGTACCAGTGTTCTTTTAGTAAAACATATGCAACACACACTTGATATCATTAGATTAGAATGACACTTCATAACTGA